GAGAGCACATCCAGTTAGTCACAGTCAGAGAAACAGGACTACACTGAAAAACAGGCCGATCTCCAGCATCTAGAAACAAAGGTGTTGATGGCAGCCGCACAGCTGATATTTCTCTCCGGATGGAGTCACAGCCAAACAGGAAAAGATGAAGCTGCTATTAGACTCTTCTTGCTCAGCATCAGGTGCTGATGTTTTCTGCCTGTCGTCTACAGAATGGTCTGTAAGCTGAACACTCGGACCACCATCCTGGCAGCTACAAATCCTAAAGGCCAGTATGACTCCAGTGAGCCCCTGTCTGTGAACGTGGCGTTGGCCAGTCCTTTGCTCAGTCGTTTTGACCTGGTTCTGGTCCTGCTGGACACCAGGAACCCGGAATGGGACCGAATCATCTCCTCTTTTATTCTGGAGGACCAAGGTAGGGTGGGTGTTTTAGGTGGCGGTCTGTATTGATGGGCAGCATAACAGAAACAGTGGGTCTCCTCTTGGTTCTGTCCAGAAGCTCCTGCTGATCCCAGCGGTCTCTGGTCCCTGGAGAAAATGAAAGCCTACTTCAGTCTGATCAAGCAGCTGCAGCCTCGCGTGTCTGAGGAGGCCAACTGCATCCTGTCCCGGTATTACCAGCTACAGCGCCAGCGGGACGGACACAACGCCGCCCGCACAACCATCCGCATGCTGGAGAGTCTGAGCCGACTTGCTGAAGGTGAGAGCGGCAGGATGTGACCTCAGGAGGACCTTGTCTGCTTACAGTGACAGGATAGAAACTGGACTACTCTTCTTCTGTCCCACTGGTTTTAATGGGACCTGCAGGCTCTGATGCATTCAGGTTGACCTCTGACATCACAGATGCGGTGAAGTGACAGAGCTGCTGTTTTTTCTCTGCAGCACACGCCCGGCTGATGTACAGAGAGACGGTCACCATCCAAGATGCTCTCACTGCCGTATCGGTCATGGAGTGCTCCATGCAGGTTAGTACATGATGACCACGGCAATGACTTATCTACTCCATAATGCTCCTCCTCTCCTCTTATGCTCATCAGGCCTGAAAGTTTGGCCCATTTTGCCTCCAGAGGAGCTGCTCAGATGCCATGAGCATTTCCTCAGGGCTCAGGCAGAAAGCCTGACCCTATGGCGTCATTAACACTCTGCTGCATCATTCCTGCAGGGCGGAGCTCTCCTGGGAAACGTCAACGCATTGCTAACAACGTTTCCCAGCGACCCTGTCCAGCAGTATCAGACCCAGTGTGAGATGCTGCTGAAAGGACTGAACCTGCCGCTGCTGCTTCAGAAAGAGATGGAGAACCTGCTCAGGTGAAAACTCACTCTTGTGGTTCATGAACTCATGTCTGAGCTTAAAGTTTGCTGCAGGTAAAGATGCTTCTGGACAACTGTTACAAATTGATGCTGAAAGAAATACATGGACTAGAATTAAAGAATTCCTTCAGCTAGATCAGCAAATACTTAATCTGTAATGGAGGAGAATAAAAATAGTCCTCATCATATCAGTGAAACAGCTCTGGTGAAAGTCACTAATGATATTCTCATGGCCTCAGATAATGGACTTGTATCTGTGCTCGTCCTGTTGGATCTCAGTGCTGCATTTGATACAGTTGATCATAATGTTCTTTTAAAAAGACTTAAATATTTTGTTGGAATTAAAGGAACAGCATGTTTTAGATATGCTCTGTGTTTCCAGCTTGAGGGTTTCTCTCTCCGGTTCTTTTTCCTAAAAAGAGATCACTCAGGACAAACTCTTTAAATAACAATTCATAATGTTTATGTATTAAATAACCAGGAGGCATGACAACAGATTCTGATAGAAATTATAATCTTACTCAGATCAGAAAAGTTGCTTAGTTACAGAAGGCAGCTGCTTACTAACTGGGCTCACTTCTCATGAAGTGGACGTGAATCACAGTTAGAGAAGCTTTTTATTCATCTCCAGTCTGTCGCATCATCACATTTTGCATCATACATGTTTGCAGATGCATCCATGGCTGCAGCCTTATCACAATATTACAATTCGTTCTTAGCTGAAGGACACCGCTCTCATTCCATTCCCACATCTTTGCCACATACAGAATGAAGATTATAACTGTGTATAGCCGGACAGAAGAACTGTCTTAATCAGATAAACTATTGTGGAAAACATCAGTTCTAACACGCAACAGGCAGCTGATATTCACATCATCTATGATAACTATCCTAACAAGCTCTAGACTGGTTTAAATCTGATCTATCTGACCGATTTTAGTTTGTTCATGTTAATGATAGATCTTCAACACGCTCAAAGGTTACCTGTGGAGTACCACAGGGATCAGTGCTGGGACCAATTCTCTTTACTTTATACATGCTCCCAATCGGTAGAGTTATTAGACAGCATGGGATTAATTTCCACTGTTATGCTGATGATACCCAGCTATATCTGTCTATAAATCCAGATGAAGCTAACCCATTACATAGATTACAGGCATGTTTCAGATTGATCTCAGATAATAAAGTAA